GGTGAGGAAACATACCAGCCGAGGACTCGCGACTATGTGCACCTCGTGTGAAGTTCGGATGATCGTGAAAAACTGCTTCACGACTCTTTCTGCGCGGAAAGACATCATAGACGTTTATGGTGACTTCAGATCGATGGTGTCTCCTCAAGTGAGGGACTCCTCAGGACGTTCACAACTGAGAGCAGCTTACATGTTCTCCACGAATGCTCCCAGGTCTTTTTCAATGGGACCGAGGCTGAAGCCAGTAGGTCCGGGAGCATCGATCCAAATACTGTTAGCCTTCCGACTCCACGAGTACCTAGAACGAGTATCAGATGCAATATAAACGTTCTCCTCGGACAGATTCAGTCCAGGCTTGTTGGATCCTGGTAGGAGAATACAGGGCCCACGGGAAAGAGCATAAGCCACACCGCTCGAGCCGAAACCCCCGGGGAAGAACAAAAAGGTAGGAGCAGTTTTCGGATCACTCTCAGCTTCGAGAGCCGCATAATAATACCTGAGCAGAGGCAGCACGGCCAACATGATTCATTGTGTGAACTTCATGTCGAGGGCTTCACTTGTTCTCCTCGCTAACTTGTATGTATCCGAACTCCTGATTGCCCTTGCTGAAGGGACACAACACCTTCCCACTCATGCTCACCCCCAGTAGCAAGATTCCCACGAATAGAGCAGGGGACATAAGAGTACAACGCTAACCAAAAAGTCCCAGTGATGAACTCTCAAACTTTACCCTGGTACGGTAGATCAATATAAACTCGAATACACTTGAAGGGTGTAACGATGGTTCCTAGGGGAACTTATAACTCGCACACAAACGCAATGGTGTCTACACTGTCTACAGTGACGTGGAGTAACAATCTGGTACACGCGAGCACAGGTGATAAGACTAGTGGCTCCAGTTTAACCGTGTCTACGTCAACCAAAGACTCCCGCCGTGGCAGCATATTGATGGAGGGCCAAGACTTGTCTATACGTTCCCTTCGGTAGAAGAACGACATCAATCAGTTTGAGGCGGATGGTCTCTCCCATCTCTTCAAGAAAGTCGTTCGGAGAAGTGTTCGACTGATGTGCCTTTTCCGAGACGTCGTTGTCTCT